GGTAATTTATTGCGCTGTTATGTTATTGTTGGAGCACACTTGCTTATTGTTCTTATATATGTGTAGTAGAGTTAACTACTCAATGTTCACAAACTGGGAGAGCAAATCGTTAACAAGGTTTTCCCGCTCAAACTAACGGTCAGGGTCTCACAAGCTGTGAGAGCTGACCGTAAACAAGGTTTTCCAGCGCGACCAAACGGTCAGGGTCAGATCGGGTGAATTGGGATCGAAAAGCAGATTGGGAACGACCAATCACAGGGTTCCACAAGGTGGCCAGGGATTGGACAACCCGGCCACGAACAAGTATAAAGCCAGAGCGCTCAGAGCTCTGGGGGAGTTCGACTACACGAAGACCCAAGATGGTGGAAGAAGCCTAGGACCCTGGACCAAGCCCTCCAGCCCTTATAAGGGCTAGGGTTCAGAGTAACCAGTGGTCAGGGAGACCTCCCTTAGGTCCAGTCAGAGGACATTGAAAGAACGGGATATTAAGTAGCCTGTAGGGCGCGGAGGCTTGTACGTTCTGAGTGTAATGGGTGAGGGGACCGTATACCCCTCAGTGCATAGGGACTGTGTTCATAAGACGAATAAAAGTGTGCGCTACAAAAGACGTTGAAGAGTCCGTCTGTACAACACTACATATGTACATAGGTTGCTTGCTTGCGGGGGAGTTGGCAGCCGGGATGGCTAGATCCTATGGGGGGGGGGGGGGGGGGGGTGATGTAGTGACTGTGAATGTCACTGTGTGGTGCCTGGCCTGCGAGGTCACGGCAGATAATATGTTGTCATTATGTGCAGCCCGGTTACTGGGCGTAGTACCAGCCCTAGCAGGGCTTGGGTAAGCACTGATTAGCATAGAGACACCACGTACAGTGTGCGGTGCGGGCTCCTGGGGAAGGAGCGAGAGAGTGTCAGCTAGCCAGAGTAACGTTGGGGCATGTATATAATGTGTGTACTGTGTATGTGTAGAGGTGTAATTGTAAAGATGTATGGGCACGGATGGGTAACAAACACAAGGGGCGTGGTTAGGGCCGTACACAGAGGAGGTGCTCACACCGACGTCCGCACCTGCATCCCCCACAGGCCCCTCCCGGGGGCCGAGTGCTATAAAAGGTGGTGAGCCGGAGGGCTCGAGGTCGAGTGTTAGCTTAAACCAGCGAAGAGTGAAGACCAGCTAGAATAGGCCCCGGAGCTCCCCTGGCTCGCTGTCCTTGTCAGGACCGACAAGGGCAAGCCGGTGGCGTGGTCCCGAGAGCCCAGACTGACGTTCTTATAAGAGCCGGTCTGGAGACTCAGGGTGCCGGGATCCCAGCTTGACCAGGGCTGGGATAGGTAGCCTCCCCTAGCTCCGTAGTGGAGGACTCGGGCGTAGGTTAGTGGGGTTAGACGTGGTGTCTCCCTGTTAGATGAGTGAAGGGGACGATACCCCTTCAAGTGCTGTGTATTCCCATTACTGTACACAAGTTGGTATTAATAAATAAGTGTGCCTCCAACCACGTCGTCCAAAGCCTCCTGCAACTTACTACATATGTACCGTTGGTTGACCTGCCAACACATGACCAGATAATATTGGAGGGGGGCCACCGGTGGACAGGGGCTGCTGGGTGGTCACGTAGTATAGAAGTGCTCTCGGGAGCCTTCGGGAAAGGGCCACGGAGATCGAGAAGGTGGGCGGGGTGAGAGGCGGAGCCAGCCCCAGCCCGGCCCGATATAACGGGGGCCCCGTGTGGGGCTCGGGGTTCTTTACTGTTGGTGAGTGAAGATCCACGTCAGGTTGAAGAAGCCTCTAGCCACGCGGTCCGGGACCCAGCTCGTGATCCGGACAGGGATAACGGGACTGTGTCTAGTTCTGCCGTAGCATGGTTAGATGGGCGTTCAACACCCGAGTGTAGGTTACGTTATGTTGTGCGACTCAATTGGACTCACTACACATACACAGTGCTTACACAGTACACACACACTACATATACAGTACACACACACTACACAGTCCACACACACTACATACAGTGAGGGAAACAAGTATTTGATCCCCTGCTGATTTTGTACATTTGTCCACTGACAATGAAATGATCAGTCTATAATTTTAATGTAAGGTTTATTTGAACAGCGGGAGACAGAATAACAACAACAAAATCCAGAAAAACGCATGTCAAAAATGTTATAAATTGATTTGCATTTTAATGAGGGAAATAATTATTTGACCCCTCTGCAAAACATGACTTAGTACTTGGTGGAAAAACCCTTGTTGTCAATCACAGAGGTCAGACGTTTCTTGTAGTTGGCCACCAGGTTTGCACACATCTCAGGAGGGATTTTGTCCCACTCCTCTTTGCAGATCTTCTCCAAGTCATTAGGTTGCGAGGCTGACGTTTGGCAACTCGAACCTTCAGCTCCCTCCACCGATTTTTTATGGGATTAAGGTCTGGAGACTGGCTAGGCCACTCCAGGACCTTAATGCTCTTCTTCTTGAGCCACTCCTTTGTTGCCTTGGCCGTGTGTTTTGGGTCATTGTTATGCTGAAATACCCATCCACGACCCATTTTCAATGCCCTGGCTGAGGGAAGGAGGTTCTCACCCACGATTTGACGGTACATGGCCCCGTCCATCGTCCCTTTGATGGGGTCATAGGCAGCATTCCTCCTCCTCCAAACACGGCGAGTTGAGTTGATGCCAAAGAGCTCCATTTTGGTCTCATCTGACCACAACACTTTCACCCAGCTGTCCTCTGAATCATTCAAATGTTCATTGGCAAACTTCAGACGGGCATGTATATGTGCTTTCTTGAGCAGGGGGACCTTGCGGGCACTGCAGGATTTCAGTCCTTCACGGCGTAGTGTGTTACCAACTGTTTTCTTGGTGACTATGGTCCCAGCTGCCTTGAGATCATTGACAAGATCCTCCCGTGTAGTTCTGGGCTGATTCCTCACCGTTCTCATGATCATTGCAACTCCACGAGGTGAGATCTTGCATGGAGCCCCAGGCCGAGGGAGATTGACAGTTCTTTTGTGTTTCTTCCATTTGCGAATAATCGCACCAACTGTTGTCACCTTCTCACCAAGCTGCTTGGCGATGGTCTTGTAGCCCGTTCCAGCCTTGTGTAGATCTACAATCTTGTCCCTGACATCCTTGGAGAGCTCTTTGGTCTTGGCCATGGTGGAGAGTTTGGAATCTGATTGATTGATTGCTTTTGTGAACAGGTAACAAGCTGAGATTAGGAGCACTCCCTTTAAGAGTGTGCTCCTAATCTCAGCTCGTTACCTGTATAAAAGACACCTGGGAGCCAGAAATCTTTCTGATTGAGAGGAGGTCAAATACTTATTTCCCTCATTAAAATGCAAATCAATTTATAAAATTTTTGACATGCGTTTTTCCGGATTTTGTTGTTGTTATTCTGTCTCTCACTGTTCAAATAAACCTACCATTAAAATTATAGACTGATCATTTCTTTGTCAGTGGGCAAACATACAAAATCAGCAGGTGATCAAATACTTTTTTCCCTCACTGTACACAGTACACACAAACAGTGCATACACAGTACATATGAAGTATTGGAAATGACGGCAGGAACTTCTTGACGGGTAACACACTTTTATTAAATCTTGACGTGTCACAATACAACGTGTGGTCTCTATTCTTTTGACTATACACTCCACTTAACTCGTGTAGACTCTATGCCTCTGGCTACACACAATGCACTCGACTCGTGTAGACCCTATGCCTCTGGCTACACACAATGCACTTGACTCGTGTAGACCCTATGCCTCTGGCTACACACAATGCACTTGACTCGTGTAGACCCTATGCCTCTGGGTACACACCATGCATTCGACTCGTGTAGACCCTATGCCTACGGCTACACACAATGCATTCGCCTCTGGGTTACACAGAGTCCCGGTCCCGTTAGGACAGCGGGACTAGGTACCGCAGGGCCCTATCTCTTCATCCCCGTCTTCATTCTTCGCTGGTTACATACTGCCCTTACGCCTGTGTGCATCCCCTTTTATAGCCCCTGCTCACGGGAGACGGAGCTGATGCGGACGTCGACGTGAGCATCGCTCCTTAGTTAACCAATGACGACGCGCTATCTCTACGATCCGTTTTCCCCAGCGCGTGTTAACACTACTCCACCAATCACACCGCGCTGCCACCCGATCACTCCCTCTCAGCGCGTCACCGGCACACAGCCAATCAGCACCCCGTAACCCACGACCCCGCGCTGACCCCTGATCCTCCACCGTCAGCGCGCGTCACCACATACACAACCAATCACTACGCGCTGGCACACGATCCCTACCCCAGCGCGTATCACCACTACACATACACACTTCATACACAGTACACACACTACACACACGGTACATACACAGTACACACAGTATATACACACTATATACACAGTACACACACACTACATACAGAGTACACACACTATATACATATTACACACACACTACATACAGAGTACACACACTACACAAACACTACATACACAGTACACACAAACTACATACACAGTACACACAAACTACATATACGGCACGTACACTACATACACAGTACACACACACTACATACGCAGTACACACTTACCAGGTGCCCGTAGAGCCAGTGTGCTCACCACACGCCCACCACTCACCAGGTGCGCGTGCCCGTAGAGCCAGTGTGCTCACCACACGCCCACCACTCACCAGGTGCGCGTGCCCGTAGAGCCAGTGTGCTCACCACACGCCCACCACTCGCCAGGTGCACGTACCCGTAGAGCCAGTGTGCTCACCACACGCCCACCACTCGCCAGGTGCGCGTGCCCGTAGAGCCAGTGTGCTCACCACACGCCCACCACTCGCCAGGTGCGCGTGCCCGTAGAGCCAGTGTGCTCACCACACGCCCACCACTCACCAGGTGCGCGTGCCCGTAAAGCCAGTGTGCTCACCACACGCCCACCACTCACCAGGTGCGCGTGCCCGTAGAGCCAGTGTGCTCACCACACGCCCACCACTCACCAGGTGCGCGTGCCCGTAGAGCCAGTGCGCGGGCGGTCCCGGGAAGGCGTCGAGTGCGGAGCGCGCGCGCCGCCGCAGCACCCACAGGGCGCAGCACGCGGCGCACAACAGCAGCAGCAGGGAGCCCAGCAGCTCCCACATCCTCCTCACTCCGAGCCGGTGCACTCACCACCCTCACCCTGAGGCACCACACACAGACTCACCCTCACCCGAGCCAGCACACACAGACTCACTCTCACCCTCAGGCAGCACACACAGACTTACCCCGAGGCAGCACACACAGACTCACCCCGAGGTAGCACATACACAGACTCACCCTCACCCTCAGGCAGCACACAAACTCACCCTCTGGCAGCACACACAGGCTCACCCTCGCCACGAGCCAGCACACACACTCACCCTGAGGCAGCACCCACAGACTCACCCTCACCCTCAGGCAGCACACACAGACTCACCCCGAGGCACCACAGACAGACTCACCCTCAGGCAGCACACACAGACTCACCCCGAGGCAGCACACACAGACTCACACTCAGGCAGCACACACAGACTCACACTCAGGCAGCACACACAGACTCACACTCAGGCAGCACACACAGACTCACACTCAGGCAGCACACACAGACTCACCCTCAGGCACCACACATAGACTCACCCTCAGGCAGCACACACAGACTCACTCCGAGGCACCACACACAGACTCACCCTCAGGCAGCACACACAGACTCACTCCGAGGGAGCACACACAGACTCACCCTGAGACAGCACACACACAGACTCACCCTCAGGCAGCACACACACAGACTCACTCCAGCAGACACAGACTTGCACGCTGCTCTCTGTCTGCTCACAGCAGCGCTATGCCCTGGCACGACAGTAACACCCAATCGCTGAGCCGTGAGTGAACATCAAATAAACACACCCCCTGGGCAGGTTCTCATAAATCATCATCACAAATACCAGACATGTCAGCAGATGAGGCAGCATCTATCTCGCCTTCATTGTGTCATCTACGGGGTTGTTTTTCATAAACCTGTTAATCAGAATCAGAAGTATATTTAAAGCACATTGACCTATGAAGTTGTTTTTCGAGGGCAACTAGACCGGCAGACATCAAAGCATTCCGCGGATACAGATTAAAAATTACTTAACAATCTCAATTATGTTGTAAATTTACGTTCACACTTAAACGTTGCTAATTTTAATAGTTTAAAATTGGACAGAGACAGAATGGAGATGACAAGAGCCAAAACTAGGTTGTTCCAAAACTTTAAGGCAGTTACATAAAATGCTCTTCATCCAAATTGCGCACAAAATCTGGTAATAAGCAACCACACACACATCCTGGCTTATAGGAACGTAGGGTACAAATAATGAGTATTATGGATATGTGTACCTTATACTTTAGTGGTGGTGCCTTACTACGATAATCCTTGCTATAAAATAGCCTAGGCAGTATTCTGGAAATTATCAAGCGATAAATTAAGCCCTGGCTGGGCATAAGTAAAGAAGATGTTCCGAGTGCGTTGTTGTTAAACAGCCCATGAACTTAACAGTTGACAAAGCTTTGCAAATGTAACTGTTTTATAGAACAATATAAATAATCGATCTCTCCTTCACATATCCGTCTCTCTACGTACACATTAAAGTATTTATTACAAAACCTCTCCGTCGCATAGCTTCCTTCTGAGAGCAAAACATAAGCAGTATTGTTTCGGATAAGCAAACCTTTGGACCAGTTTCAACATTGCAGTGTCTCATCAGCAGCAGAGTTAGTCTTGCTTGAATCAATGAGGGTGAACTACAAAGTTGGGTTCCATGGCCGCAATCCTTTTACGATAAGGGTCCTTGGGTTGTGGTGTTGTAGAGTGGCTGTGTGGAGGTCGTGGTATAGCTATTGTGATGAAGTGGTGTCGTGTAGAGTTAGGTGGTATAATTGTGTGGGGATTAGGTGGTGGTATAGTGACATTTTAATGGTATGGAGGTGGTGTGGTAATGTGATGTAGTGTGTGGTTGTGTATCATATTATGGTCGATTGTGTTGTGGTTGTGTTGTGTGGTTGCGTGGTGTTAAGTGCACCATTCTGCAATACCAGTAGTGTAAGTTTGATATCTGTGTAATGACAGTGCGGAGCGATAGCGGGATAGTGGTTAATAATGGGTGAGCTATCAATGAGACGGGAGCCAATGGGGGAGAAGGACGTGAGCAGCAGGGCCAGTTGCGGTGAGGAGGATTGAGGCTTCGGGTGTGGCCAGATCAAGGAGCATAAATATCAGCGTGAGCGGGAGCTTGGGGCTGCTTGGTGTGTCGTCACCTGGGATCGGGGCGTCTCCATCGTCTGCAAGTTGTCTGGAGCTTGGAAGCTAGATTGTCTCCGAATAGGGTTGTGTCTCATCACCCGAGTGTACGAAGTCACTCGCGTTACGTGTTGAGTTGTTATTGGACTTTATTCTTAACTAGCGGGAAGTACCCGGCGTTGCCCGGGCGAAAAATATATTTCAAAACTTCTCTTAAAAACCTTACATAAACATACACAGATACTAAGGTATTGTGAAAGCCCAGTGGGCCGTTTGTCCATTTCTCCACCAACAAAATTACAAGAGGCTTGCAAAAGTCCAAAAAGTTATAGAAAGTGGAGGGTAAATGGTTGATCTTAAAGGTTACCGAAAATAGTCGATCCCCCCCCCGCCTCAAAAATATATATTTACCCCCGCGTAGGTATATCTACCTACATACCCTACCTCCAATAGAGTAAGTAGTATCTATTGGCTCTGTAGTTGTATCTACTGACTGTACAGTAGTATCTACTGAGCCAGCAGTAGCTCCTGACTGTATATTAGTATTTACTGACTAGCAGTATTTGCTGTCCGTAGTGGTATATACTGACTGTTTAAGTTTCTACTAACTCTATATAGCAGTATCTTCCAACTCAATAGCAGTATCTACTATCACTACAACAGTGCATACCGACTGTGGTGGTGCCTGCTATCACTGCAGCTGTGCATACCAATTGTGGTGGAACCTGCTATGATTACAGCAGTGCATACTGACTGTGGTGGTGCCTGCTATTATTACAGCAGTGCATACTGTGGTGGTACCTGCTATGATTACAGCAGTGCATACTGACTGTGGTACCTGCTATGATTAGAGCAGTGCATACTGACTGTGGTGGTGCCTGTATGATTACAGCAGTACATGCTGACTGTGGTGGTACCTGTTATCACTACAGGAGTGCATGCTGATTCTATAGCAGTATATATCGACTCTATAGCACAAATTACTCACCTGACAGAGTGCCGTGGTGAGGCCTAGTTCCGTGTAGAGCCCCCGGCCTCGCCTAGATTGCCCAGCCAGCCGAGGCTGGGGGCTGGGCAGCTACCCCCGCCCACCATCCCCCTGCCCGCACTACAATAATACTAAAAAAAGCGCTATAATAGTATCTACCGACCCTATAGGAGTAAGTGCACACATTGGGGTGGGGGGGGAGGACATGACACTTTGATTAATTTACCTCAGCCTTGCGTGTATTTGTTTTGCATTTTGAACGCGAATGAGACATCCCCCCCACCCTCCACCGATGACGCGCGTGCGTTGCCAGGGGCAACCCCCGGGCAGCTTGAGCGGGGCCGGAAAATAAATGAATAAAGAGAAATCGCACAAAAACGCTATTTTAACTCATTTAAAGGTGACGAACGGGAAAAGGAAATAGCGCTTGCTCACCGCGTGGCTTACGGCATGGCACCTGGCACATTTTTTTACGTGAACCCCACCATTTGAGAGCCAAATCCTTCACAAGCGCGCGTGCACAGACAGATAGACGGAAGGACAGACGGACAGACAAAACATGCCCTTTATAGGTTCGATTCTGAGTTAGAAAACCTTGAATTAGCATTTATTCTGATCAAACACTTAATTTAAAACAATTTTTATGAGCATTTAGAAGCAGCCTTGTACACTTTAAAAGTTTTCCTTTTTTAATAGAAAACGTATTTGTTAAATTTTTAAGCAATAACTCAAACATAAAAAAATTTAGTGTAAAAAATTCGGCAATGTGAGTGCGAAACAACTTATATCGAGACGATGTATATCGGAGACCCCCTGTATGTGGGAAAGAAAATATGAATAGAAGACACAGGAAAGATTAGCCAGTCACAGATGCTAATACTTGGGCTCCATCTGGCACCATTAAACGTAAAAAAAACTTGGGGCTTCATGCTTAAGTTTTAATGTCGAGTATGTTATGGTGGGGTACACAGGACGTGCAATGGAATTGGGTATCAATAACTTGAGTATGTTATAACAAAATTCCGTAAAGTGGGAGGATGTAAATCAGCATGTTACTGGATGTTGGTGCTAATCTGTTCGTGTGTGTGTGTGACCCATGTGCTGTGCAGGTGCTCATGGAACGGGTCCCCGACAAAAGTGGCTGTCCCCGGGAGATGGGTCCTCACACGATGCTGGTAAAGTGAAGCTGGTATACAAATTACGACTAATTGAGGACCCTTGTGCAGAGAAGTATTTTTTTGTTCCATTGGAACGAGGGCGGAGTGGTTATGGAAAGAATAATTGCAAAAAGTCAAAGAGAACCCAATGATGGTTTTGCAAAATTTAGTTCGCCCTGCATCCCTCAAATAAACTCCTAGCCGAGTGTGCAGGGTTCATCGCGTGTTCGATTCCCTCCCCGTTTTTCCAAAGTCAATTGTAAGACATTGCAAGTGTTTCCCAGACGATAAATTTTTTTATATTGAGCTGGATAATGTGTGTTTTAACATTTTCTCATATCCTGCACACATTTCTTTTAGAGGCTATCAGAATATATTTTATGTTGGCTTCTTATTATATAAATTATTCTTTCATACGAAAGAAGATTATATAATTCTAGATTAGAAGTTTTCGTGACTGCAAGGGTCCATACTCTTTGGTTTATTCGGAAAAGTGACGTAAGTAAAAAATAAAATAAAAAATAATTAAATCACGACGTTTCGGAAGCAACACAAGCTTCCGTCTGCAGGTGGAACCGTCACAGCAAAATTACTGTATCAAGTGATACATCACAGATGTGACGTCACCGCTCACTTACCGTGCAAAAGATATCCATTATTGCCCCCCCCCCCCTCCCCCAAAATACAAAAGTCTATTTTATACTTTTTGCATTGTGTACAGTCTGGAAGCTACCCACATGCCAAATTTCAAGTTTGTTGCATGTTGGGAAGTATGCTAGACATTTCGAACGGACACACATTCACAAATTTCCCTTTTTTATATATATAGATTGTAAAGTTAGGCCCTAATCCACTGCGCTTGCCGTCTTAGTTGTGTTTTGTTGAATGAATGGAGTACACAGACACATACAGCAAAGCCTCCTCGTGCTGGGCAGGACGATAGCACTCGGTAACAGATCTTGCATGGGTCCGTTCATGTCCGCTCCGTTCATTTAAACAATTGAGAGCCTGTACAGATTTAAGCACTATTGTTGAAGGATATGGAGATGCCTGCATCCAACAGTGGACCGATTATGGCTGGTGATGATAATTTAGAAAATACGTAGTCATATTTAAGTGGGAATACTATTTTGTATTTGAATATTTTGTGTTTAATGTGTGCCGACACTTGCAGATAAACAGCTTGTAAGTGATGTGATCTCTCACATCCACGATACAGCAGTCACTTTGCTCTCGGAAATCGACAGGGCACTGGAGGAACTGAACGGCCAACTGCAGCAGGGGTGGCACAGTGCTTGGGTTTGCTTCCCAACTCGGGTGTCTTTCTGCGTAGAGTTTGTATGTTCTCTCTCCGCCTGTTCTGATTTTTTTCTCTGAGTTCTTTGGTTTTCTCCTGTCGCTGAAATAAACTGGTATTGGCCAAACATCCCAATGCTGAAAGATTATATTAAGATTATTCAATGGGGATTACACAACTTGGAAATACACTCCTGAAAAAGAATGAGACTCGGTGAAACTTTCCTGAGTAAACAAGCGTAAGTAAATACTAAGTAAACTTTTATTTTCCAGTTAAAGCCCACTTAGCTACATAGCTCTTTTTCAGAAGCAACCTGGCCACAAACGATAGCTGAACGAAGTGGCTTATCACGTAGAAATGTATAGCAGCCAAATATTCTAAACTTGTTTTTAAATATGGAGGGAAAAACCAGAGGACCCGGAGAAAAATCCACACGACTACTCGGAGAACATGCAAACTCCAAATATACAGGCGTCAGTGTCGGGATCGAACCCACGACCTCCTGTATACCAGGCAAGGTAGTTAACATGTCACCACTGTGGCGCCACATTGTCTCAGTGAAGAGTCTTGACCACTGCTGTGAGCCACGGAAGACAATGTTACATCTTTGACACATCTTAATGTTGCCAACAAGTGTTGTCTTCAATAAGAGGGCATAAAGATTGTCTCTTGTATTCTGTCAACAGATCCTGGGTAAAAAAACAATTATCAGGGTGTGAACAGCTTTCGGAAATGGAATGTCGTATTTTCACCTGAAATGAGTAAAGCTGATAATTGGTTCTTTACCCTTCTATCTGGCAACAAAACTGACACCTTTTTGCAAGGAGTCATGTTTGCATAGACCGCAATACCTGCAGTCATAAATACAAACAAAAGACATAACTCTGATAATGTGCACTGTCCTTGAAGTTGATTGGTCCACACCCGAGACAGCTTTCCTTCGAGCCTAGTCTCATATGGGTTGGACCAGATGACGCCAAAAGGCGCATCTGGTCCATATGGGTTGGACCAGATGACGCCAAAAGGCGCATCTGGTCCAACCCATATGAGACTAGGCTCGAAGGAAAGCTGTCTCGGGTGTGGACCAATCAACTTCAAGGACAGTGCACATTATCAGAGTTATGTCTTTTGTTTGTATTTATGACTGCAGGTATTGCGGTCTATGCAAACATGACTCCTTGCAAAAAGGTGTCAGTTTTGTTGCCAGATAGAAGGGTAAAGAACCAATTATCATATTTTTACTGGCAAATGAGGTCCCCATAATGAGTAAAGCTCTTAGCGGGGCGTCGTGAAGAACTGTTCACAAGAGTTGAAACCTCATCTTTCATGCAGAGTTTGGCGACATTCTTTTGAGTGTGAACGTAAACCCTATGCACACGGGGACGATGCTTTAAAGTAACGTTTCCTTGAAGCTGTGCTTCAGAAGGTCAGGTTGCTGTTCATCTCATTCTAAGTGAATTTCTTAGGAGCACCATTCGACTAGCTGCCTTATTCATTCAATAATGTTCCAGGTTTTATTCTCACCCCATAAACTTGTAAAATCGTTATTTTCATCTCTATTGTTGTGTGGACCTTTCACCTTGGTGTGATCATTATCTAATTAAATAAATAAATTTCTCGCACTGCTACATGAAACAAACATGGTTATGCATTTTTTGTAAAGCTGAATTGTGTAAAGACATCACAACAGTTTGTTTCTATGATTTATCCGATGTCTTCCACATGACCATTAAACATGCAAAGTGCATTCCTTATGGCTCGACCATTTATTTGTACCCATGCCTTGGCTTGCAATCTGAATTTCTGGAGTTTGACTTTGCAGAGGAAGGAGAGATAGTGAGGCAAGTTTGGGTTATAGTATGAAACTAGCTCTAGTAGCTGCACAAGAATGAATTAAGCCCAAAATCAATCTCAATACTTATTGTTTGCTGACAACGCTGAGCTCCTTGCCGGCTCATGGTTTTATCGTGACTTCTTGGAATCCAGTCTCACAAGTCCAGAGTCTGGATCACTCGACAAAGTCCCATTTAGCCGCCTGAGCCACTCAAACACTTCTCAGATGTTTGGCCTCGTTTGGTCACAGCTGAGTTTTGATAACCTGGTTTTGCGAGCAACTCTTTCTCTCGAGAGGTCTGGACTCGCAAGCAGGTGTGAAAAAAAATACTCCTGTAGCATACGAGGCAAAAGCATGACTTTAGCCACAATAGTGACTATTATCGTACACAATGGTGATGTGCTGCTGTAGTCCAGACAGGCAGTATACAGGATAAAAAACATGCACATGCAGTGTTTGACACCTGCTGTTATCACAAGCTTTCAAGGTGCTTTGTCCTAGTGTATTTTCAAATGTAACCCTTATTGTATTTTGTTGTTTGTTTTTAAAAGTATTTTGTTGTGAAACCCGATATTTGGCATAATAAAGCACGATTACAGTTTGAGAGCATGGTTTATTTTTAATGATTTTCTTCATGCATGACTGTGAGGACAGAACACATTACTGGATAAAGGCTTTCCTAAGCTGTCGCCATCTCATACTACACAACACGAGTTATCTAATATCATCAGTCGCTAGAACCTAGAGTGTTGCACGAGCACGGGGCACTTGTGTGAACTTTCGAAAAAAAGACATCTCACCATCATCAGTCTCACCCGAGTGTATGACAGGGAGTTCCACAGTGAGTGTGTGTGATGGGAACAGAGTTCCACAGAGAGTGAATGTGAGAGTGAGAAGCAGGGAGAGAGCTCTGCGCTCGGTGTGATGTGAGATGGGGACGGAGCGCGTCGCTGCTACTCGGCGAGTGGCGGGATTCTCTCGAGCTGCAGCTGGAAGCCCGTGGTAGAGCGGTTGACGACGCGCGGCACGGGCTGCGCCTCCACGGGGCCCGGCAGCACGCGGAACCGTGAGAGAATCAGGGCGAGCGTCACGCGCAGCTCGTTCATGGCAAAGTGCTGCCCAATGCAGTTGCTGTGGGGGGTGTATGCAGGGTGAAGAGAGTCGTGGTCATAAAATCACAATTTTATCATCACTTACATTACCAAATGTCAACCGTGAAAGCCGTTTGTAGTAGAGCCGTGCTATACAATTATGTGGATAGGTGCCAGCTCTAAAAATTAAACATTGCTGTGGCTGTAATGCGACAAATAATGAATACGGGGCACGCAACGCTCTGTGAGAATATTTCTTCATAAGGATGCAAGTGCAGCCCAGAGAGGGGTCTGTGTTGGGCAGCACCACTCCTCTTGTGTGGTGCCATCGCTCCCTACAGATCTCATTGTACATAATATTCTATTTTTACATTGAGTTTTAATGTGATGGCTCTTTGATTGCCAGATTTGAGCCAGAAAGGCGTCACGTGTGTAAGAAAAAAAAAATATTGATTTGACGGCTCTCTGCACTCACTCATTCAGGCAAGACAAATATCCCTATTATAGCTTTAAATAGACTTGGGGTAACTGCTGTTAGCGAGCACCTATAAAGGCAGGTGGATCACCAGCACTACACACAACTGCCTTTTCTCCCCAGTAGCGATACTTACTGCACCAGGTACTCATTTGAGGCTGAGTCGACTTAGCAGAGGCCCAATACCTATTCAATTAATTGTCACCGGTGTTGGCTGTGAGGGGGAATCGAACTTGTGTTGCAGGGTTCATAGCACAGCGCACTAACCGCTGTGCCACAGCTCCCCACCCATCCAGGGCAGACACCGACACTATCACCCACGCAGGCTTCAGACACGTTCACTACTTTCATAATAATCATAATCAGTTTATGATTGGTTATGCTTGGAGCCTTAGTGGTCTCACGAATCAGGAGGCGATGATCTTCCTGTGTGTAATCGCCAATTGAGTAATTTATAGGTAAGATGTTTTAGCCTTGGGATGTTTGACCAGTGTCAGGTACATTGTTGCCGTTTTTTGTCCTGAGTCTGGAATTGAACCCTGGAAACTTCTTGTTGCGAAGCAGAAGTGTTACCACTGCGCTAGCGTGACTTATTTTAAGTAAAAATGCGCAGAACTCTTTTTTAAAATCAACTGTCAGATGAAGGCTTCATTGGAGTGCGGGGAGTTATTTAACAATGCTTCAACAAACTAGCCAACGTGGGTTGGTGAAGGGGAGAAGGGGACAGGTATGATTTACAACTCCCCATTGCCAATTATTGTATTCGTGTTCGGGAATCGAACTTGGGTTTCTGGGTTTGTGTGCAATGCGTTAACCACTGCCCCATCGCTCCCCCCCATGTCCCTTGCAGGCTAATCGCGTCGTGGGGCTTCATATTTTGTGTAGTAACGGCCCGAGTTTGCCTGTGGAGACGGTGGCGGTGAGCAGGAGGGTTTAACGCTCACCGGGGCCCGGCCGAGAAGGGGATGAACGCGTAGGGGTGGCGATTGGCTGCGTTTTCAGGAGAAAATCTCAGAGGGTCATAAACCTGTGGGCAGATGCACAGGCGAGTTAAAATTACATATTGACACATCAAGTGACCTCATGTGCACGCGTACGCACACACTGATCACCACCTCCGTCTCCATTACCCTGCTAGGGAAAGTTCTCTGAGCGAGCACCTATTATATGTTAACAGAGGATTGGTACAGATCTCCAATCCCAGCCATCTAAGTGTTAGGATGCCGACACATGATCCTTATGGCGGTACCCCGGGGTACCAAATAATACAAAATGGGCCGAGGCAATTTAATATTTTAATTCTGGGACACTATCTTTTCCAGGGGTGGACTTAACTCCACGACTGGGGTACCAATCAATCCGACATCAGTGCTACTCCGCGATGTTGAAACGCCAAATAGCATTAAAAAAAACCCGATTTCTAAAAATTCAACTTTGAATAGTGCATCGTGTACAGTTCGTCGAGATGAGTCGATTGCTGCATCGCCGACCATCAACAGACTAAAAATGACTGCATCACGGACATTATGCGAGAACCGGGGTACTATGGTACCTCGGGATACCGCCATAAGGTTCGCATGTTGCACTCGGGAGCCTTTGATGTGACACAGCACCTTTGATTTGACACAACACTAGGCCTGGCTACTTTGCCTGTCTCTTGAGGCTCGTACCCTCCCCTTGTGCTCTCCCTTTTTATACCTTTCGAGCCCCTTCTCTCGAAGCTTCCCTCACACGCCACACCCCTCTCAGCCAATCATCGTCCTTCTTCCCTCGATGGTTGTTAACCATCGCCTCAACGCTCAACCTTCGCTTCCCGCGAGTTAGAACCTCCAATCCCTTTGAACCTCGCCTCCCGGCCATTCACTGTGGAGGCCTCTGCACCAACGGGAGGCATTGGCCTACTTCCTTGAATGTCTGCCGGTATGTTTGCTGCAGGTGAGTAGTCTGTTGTCTCGTTTATTAAAGAAGTTTCCCAGGTTTGACGCCGACGCACACACGGCAGAATTACCATCAGTAAACCTGAGGAGAGCCCAGGTCTCTTAAGTTTACTGAGACTAATCACCTCTGGTTTGGATGTCCAGGAGTTAATACTGGAATTGTAGCTGGTGGTGAGGCAAGTTGTTTAGCCAGCACCTGATTAGGCCAGCCTGGCACAAGAGGGGGTTCTGTGGCCAGCAGCATGCCGTGCTACCTTTACCCACCCAAGTGCTGATGATAACACACAATACTGGGCGTTCATTTACGGCTGAGTTGACATAGGAGGTTCAGGCACTCCTTGCTTGATGCGGCCAGGAATCTAACCCAGGTCACCAGGTGTGTAGTGAAGTGCACAAACCCAATTCTGCTGCTGCTGCCCGGGTGCTTGCGGCCAGGCCCCACGCACGCGGGACTTTGGCTGAACGAACCAAGCGGTGTGAACAAGCAATACCTCCCCTCTTCCCTGGAGAATGTGGGACCATGCCGAGAACTTCCCTTGGCTTGGATCGACAAACTAATTCTGTCTCACCCAAATGTCTCTAGTACTGCGGTGGCACTCACCAGCAGAAGGAAGTGCTGATTGGTCGACTTTCCACATCAAACGACTCGAGTTCTGCACCCACTGTGCTACGAATCTGCTGTGGAAATGGCGACCCCTACCTGACCGTGTTCACCACTTGTTGCAATGCATCCCATATTATTATGCTGCAGATCTGGTCAGTTCTTCTTCCACCCTCCATCCACGCGATCCCGAAAGAGTGCCTTCATCGCCATATTGCTGCTGATGTCAGGCATTGAGCCAAATGGTGAACCAGAGCTCTACTGGATTTGTAAACGCACGCTCCCTAGTCAACAAAACGGCATTGATCCAATATCTGATCAACGAATGTCGACTCGACATTTAAGTTAAAGTTAGATATGGAGTGCCTCGATAACCTCTAAGAATGCACGCGAGCAGTGCACGTGTATTGCACAAAACGATATAATGCTTAATCCAGGAAACTCGGAGGTTCTGCTGGATGGCACTCGGGTTCTGGTGAAAACAATTGTGAGACGATCAGGGGTGATGGTCGCAGACTCCAGGATTCAGTTTTCTACTCATCTAATGAGCCTCGGCATCATTCTCGACCAGATTATGTCGTTTGATCACCACGTGCAAACTATAGTCAGGTTGTGGAATTTCATATAAGGGTTCTACGACACATTCAGCCAATATTTAGTCATGGCATAGCCAACACGGTGGCGTGTAGCATAGTGTGACGAGGCGAAAGTTTAGGGTCACACACCCGGCTTCCCTCTGTGGCAGTTCTAGCTGGTGTGGCCGATTTTAGGAGTATGGGTGTGGAGAAGCCCAATTATTTAAATTTACCTGCCATAAAAGGGGAAATAAAGAAGTGGATTGGAGGCACGCGACATGAGAAGGGAGTGGGGCCAGCAAACAGCAGCAGCAGCAGCCAGGAGCTGGAAGCATTTACCCGGGAGTGTGGAGGCACCACAACAAGGGGAGGCAGCGGGGCTCTGCGTGCTGTTGGTGCGGAGACACCATCCCAAGGGAAGCCACCTGCTCTGTCTATAGCTGCAGTGTGGACTCTCCACACCAAGGGAGCCACTGGTGCTCTACCTACTGTTAGATCGTGGAGACACCACCCCAAAGAAGGCACAAAAAGCTTTGCATATTGTTACAGGCTGACTGAAGAACTGGGACACAGGACCGTGAGACCCTATAAACGGACGTGCTGGTAGGCGTATAAGGGTGATGGAGTCGCCCAGGTGCGTTGCGTGTAAAAACATGTTCCTTTTCTTTATTAAGTTCCATATAGAGTACACAAGTCAGACAATACTTGTGGGGTTCTGCCTATAATTGTGCATGAAAGTATCATCTATAAAAGAGTGGAAAAACGACCAACCCGCCTGGTGTGTTACATCCCTCCCCAAGGAATCACACTCCCCATAAACCCTGCAACTATTCCGAATCATTACTCATAGTATTGACAAGGCTTGATTATCACAACTCACTACTCTACAGGATGTCTGAAAAAAACATTAGCAAGCTACGTGTACAAAATTATTTGGCATGTGTCGTGACGGGCACTGTAAAATCCAACAATGTTGGTCCGGTGCTCGCTGCGCTGCATTGGCTTCTGGTTGTGGAACAAATGCATATACGTTCGCACTCATTACACACAAAGTGCTTGCCACAAATGAACCAAATATTTTGCTGATCTCAAGGAGTATAAACCATCATGCAAACTCTGGTCATCCTCGCAGTGGCTTTTGTATAACCACTGCATAATGCGCATTCAAATGCGCTTCTGCAGCCATCTGGAACGCTCTTCCTTTTAAATATAGATTGAAAATTCCTTTTTTTAGAACAGTTTCTTGTGTTCAGTTTGTTATCCTTCCCCCGCACCTCCAATTATCATGACTGGCTATGTACAGTGCGAAAGAAGTTCAACATACATACATTTCATACACCTGCAGTATTAATCAGGACAGCCGCTGGATATGAACCGTTAACTTGTATGTATGTTGTATGTTCAACTTCTTTCGCATCGTACATAGTCAACCGTGTTAATCGGGCATGTGGGGGAAGGATAACAAACTAAACAAAAGCTGAGCTGCATCACTACATTCTCTCCTTTGACTGTCATTAATCGGGCAATACATTTTTCAGGCCAAATCCTACTTCCTTCAAAGTCAATATGCATATTATTTCAATAACTATGTAAGTGGGGCTTAAGTCTCAAATCGTCACAATTGCATTGTATTTGTTATTCAAAATCGTGAAAATATCAAAAAAATGTCATTCTATGCCTATATTTGTTTCAGCTTGGAAGGAATGTGAACACGGACAAAACAATCTTCATGTAGGGGATACGAATGTATTGAATCTGCACGTGCAGGTCAAATGCAGAGGCCAGGTGAGTGCAGTTCACACATGCGACACTGCGATAGTTCAATGAAGCAGCGTGCACACTCGGAGGCTGGAGACAAACCTCTGGGTCCTTCCAGAACTCTGGGTTTCTGTGCAAGCAGTAGATGTTGATGACAACTCGGGTTCCTGTACGTTTGCACAGCACAGGGGGTGGGAGGCAAAATACATGAACGTAGAGTTGCTAAAGTTTCCCAAAATGTGTAGTCACACAGCTCCCCATCATGGTGCAACTGAACATAGAACCATGTGGCACATGGGCTATGGGTCGGCAACTTCAGACCTTGTTTCGGAAGTCCAGATGGAGTGAAAGAGGCAAAGAAATACATATGCTGCGATGCCACTTCAAGGGATGGTATACGACACAAATAACTTCAGGATTGGACAGCATGAGTCAAGGACCAGCCATTTAAAAGAAGAATAAAGATACATAAACTACAGTATGGTAATGTAGTTTTTACAGTTATTCTAACCTACAAAGGTTTTATTAACTGGGACTCCAAACCACAACTCCTAGTCGGGGCCCCCCTCCATCGCTCACATCCCTCTCCCCGTGTCAGTCGCTCCACCACCTGCCCACTCCCAATGGGCCTTGGAGTTCGAGCGTGCTCCTGACTTGTAAAAATGTGGCAACACCCGTGAACAGAGCCAGCGAAAAGTGACAACAAACATGGGGTTGCACGAAGGGTAGGTAAAGTGTTAGGATCTTTGGGAGGGGGTGGGAGACTAGAGATTTCAGCTCATAGCAGTTAGACCAGAGCCGAGGAGGTGAGGAGCTAGGACCTGTGGGGATGACGCGCCCATCGCACAAGGTGATTGGTTGGCTGGTCTTCCTGGAGATCGAGGGTACCACGGCCTGCAGGCGCAGCGATTCCTTGATGCACATGGTGGTGTAGGACAGCTGGGAAAGGTCGTCCCTGCAAGGGGACACGCATGCACGGTGACACAAACGTCAGTTTATGTCCTGTTTACCTCAGGTCTAAGTCATATTTATTTTACACATAGAATGCAAACAATGAAAAACAAAACGGCTTCCCACATTTTAAATATACTGTATCTCTAAAAGTTTGTATGACATTGCTCCTGAATGTGAAAAGTAAAGGTAAAGGCACAGCCCTGCAGTTTCTAGCTCACGCGACTGCTGGCAGAGCAGCCTCCAGGAGACGGTGCTCTAGAGCCCTTCCAGGCCTTCTCTCTCACAATGGCCAGACGTCTTGATAAAGGTTCCTTCGTGTAGACAAAAGTAGATATATGAAATGTGTCTCCATATCTGTGGTTCTCAAACCTGTGAGTCGTGCTCCCCTGGGGTGGCACAGGCTGTGGCATGAATACCGTGCAAGAAAATTGCAGGAACTATTTCAAATGTGCACAGGGAATATCAGTTCCCTGTTGTGGTGACAAATTAACTCATGCACAACATGAAACACATGACTTACGAACACAAAACTCACAAAGACAAAGCATGAAATATGTGCCTTATTAACAGTGGTCTTGATTTGGGGCACCACGCCAACAATGTTTATAACTTTTGCTCTAAATGAAGTAATCCAAGTAAATATTTAATCCAGGTGGTCCATTGACATTGACCCTGTAGAACAGATTCTGCTACTGCAAATATTGTTTTGTCATCAGCCTCTAACAAGAAGGAGAAATTGATGGGTTGAGAGGAACACAATTAAATACATACTACTGTAATGGGTTCACTTTAGGCGCGCACTGGAACTTGGGAGGCAACATTATTTATTACTAGCGGTAAGTACCCGGCGTTGCCCGGGCGAAAAAGGCAGACACACATGTAGTTACACACGCAAATCCATTGATACACACACATATAGTTACACGCACAAATGTGTAATAAAAGACTCGACCACGATATCTGGCTTGGTGTCCTTTATTTGGTTCGTTTGCTGTCTCCCACACGGCTGTCCTCCTTTGAGACTTTCCACACGGTGCCGACGCTGTTGTTACCCCCGTCACCACTAACAGCCCCGCTGTTGGTCTCTGTCGCTTCCGTAGCCTCTTAGCAGCCTCGCTGCTGTTACTCTCACGCAGCCTCCCTGGCTGTACTCGCTGCAGCTCCTCCTCGTGTCGCTCCCGTAGCTCCTAGCAGCCTTGCTGCTGTCTCCCATACACAGCCTCCCTGGCTGTACTCGCTGCAGCTCCTCCACCGCTCTCCCTCTCCAGCAGCCCCACTGCTGTCTCCTCCCGCAGCCCCGCTGGCTGCTCCCGTGGCTGGTCACCGCTGGCCTACGGTGCCACCCTTCTCTGGTTTCGCCCTGCGTGGCCTCACCCTTGCTCAGTCTCCCACTCTCTCCCGTCTCCTTCCGGTTTCTCCCCTTAAGGACCCGAACCTTTCTCCCACGTCACATAACTCCACTTCTCCGTGACGTCACATCCGGAAGGTCGCTCACGCCCGCATTACAAATGGACTCACACATACATACATAGACTGAACAACAACAACCGCCATTCGCCACTAAGTGGCGGTGACGTCACAACAACGTTTGTGCCAGGCTATGTGCACCTTGAGGCCACGTGAAGTGTCGAACACCCACTGGCAAGAGGTCACGGGGCAAACCCAGATGGCACAGGTCGACTGACTGAGACGACTGGCTGATGCACCACCTGTGGCCCCTGTGGCAACTTTCTGTGCTTTAGCCACCCGGCGCTCCGCTCGTTGTTGTGAGCGTCACTCCTCCGCCCTCCGTTGTTGTTGGAGGGTGACTGCCTCGAACTGGCCAGTAGCGTCCTTCAGGAGCCTCCTCCACAGTGGCCGATCTTGACATGGCTGGTACAAGTCATCTGCAAGTGGACTCAGCTCCAAGACCTCCTGTAGCACATCACTCCATGTCTTCTCCAGCCCGTGCCGCGCCCGTTTAGCCCCCTCGATCCGGCGGAACAAAAGCTGTTGAGGCATTCGGTGGCTGGCCATGCGGGCTACATGACTCAGGCAACGCAGCCTTGCCTGCCGGAGGTCACCGATGGGATTTTGTCCACATCTTTCAATGATTTGTGAGCTCCTCACACAATGCAGCCTGGTTAAACCCAGGATGGATCGTAGGCAGGCTAGCCTAAATGTTTCTAACCAGCAAAGATGTTCCATTAGGGGGGTCCAAGTTTCGCAAGCGTAGAGAAGGGAGGGAATGACTGTGGCCGAGAAGACCTGAAGCTTCGTATGGAGTGATAGACCAGGTAGCTTCCACACAGCGTTACGCAGCCATTGAAAAGATACTGCAGCTCGACTGATTTGGAGTGAGACCTCTGCTGTTAAACCGGAGCCAGTCATTAGCACACTGCCCAGGTATGGGAAACTCTCCACTGTCTCCACAACTGCCCCATCACCAATTGGGAGTTGTGGGGATGCAGTGTCCGATGGTACAAAATAGCCAGGCAAGTGCTTAGTTTTGGTTGGGCTGATGTAGAGGCGTAGCTAGGATATTTTGCGCCCGGGGATGAACTATAAAATTGGCGCCCCCCCCCCCCCCCGTATAATCACATTTTCCTATTACATCGAATAAGGAATAACAATTAAAATTTTAATGAAACAAATTTATAGAAATTATATTACATGGCTCACTCAGTCACTGTCGTAGACTGGTTGACATAGTCTACAAAAGATACATTTTTCTTGATTTCACTGTCACAAACTGGTCAATCACGTAATCAAAATCTGTTTTTTTCAATGTTTCTCTTTCAACGCAAAGAAGAGCACGATCGCTGAGACGATCTTGTCCCATTGAAGCACGCAAATACGACAAAATAAGTTTCAATTTGCTGAACGACCGCTCACAGCTTGCAATTGAAACTGCTATTGTTAATAAAATTTCCAGTGAAATTCGCAAATTCGGAAATATGTCGTCTCCATAAAACACAATAAAACCAAGAAGATCCAAAGGAGTTTCTGGTAGAACTTCATTCCGGTTACTGAGCAGCATTTTGCAATCTCCAATTTCTGTGAAAAGTTCGTGGCCATTGATGTCGGTGTCATAGAATTTTCCAAAATCTGTGCATTTTCAACGAATTGCATCGACATCTGTGTCGGATAGAAGAGTTTTGACGTCCAGCAGAAATCCAAATTTTGTGTTCAGGTCTTTTAGTCGTAAAAACCGTGTTGACATCTCCTGTTGAAGTCGATAAAATACACTCTTTATAACGCGCACAATTTCTTCTTCTGCTGAAAGCCCTGCATCTCTTGCCAGTTCTCCTGGCATCTTCCGACGTCGCATAATTCTTCTGTCCACATAGATTCCCCAGACTGTGCATCTTGTTTTGGCGTTTTCTACAGCAACTTGGCTCAAATCATCACGATGCTTGACACATTCATGCTTCAAAGATTCCAGATCAGTTGCTGTTTCCTTGAAATTCATAGTAGGATCCTGTAAGCGCTTCTGAACACGATCAATTTTTCCAAGAATGACATTCCAGAAATGTAATAAAACTATGAAGTAAAAATTTAATACGCATGCCTGTAACTGTTCTACATCACTTCTGGTTTCAGGCGTCATAGTTACGTCCTCCGATAATTTGTAGAGCAGCCCTACTAGTTCATCCAGTGCTTCATAGATAGCTTTAACAGCTTCTGATCGTGCACTCCAGCGTGTTTCAGACCGTCGTAGTTTCCGCCACCAAAAAACAGGACAGTGACTAAGGCTGAAAGACTGCGCCTTTCTGTTGTTTGGGATGTTCTTCCATGTAAGTTCTTAATAGGCGCGCATACCAAAATGTAATTACATGACATGTAGGCTGTGTGTGGTGGGATATATAAACTTTTAGGTTGAGGTGTAGATTTGTGCAGTAGTTTCAGGCTGCCGCGCCCGCCGCAAAAAGTTATAATGTAACGTTGTAACCCTCATTTTGGCGCCCCTTTACCTTGGCGCCTGGGGACATATGTACCCCCCTGCACCCCGCCCTAGCTACACCTCTGGGCTGATGGTAAGGCCCCACCTGTTGGTGGCAAGCTCCAGGTTCAGCAGCAGCACCTGGAACTCCTCCTCCGAGTGAGCAGCCATTAGCATATCATCGGCATACATATTTTATTACTTCCCTTCTACGTGACTTTACCGAAAGAACCAAGAAGATAAATCCCTGCAGTCACGAAAGCTTTGAATCGAAATTTAACCGCCTCTACAGGGAGGGATTCCACAAAACTTTGAGATCCTTCAACAAGCTCCAGGATAAGACGGCTCAGCTAATCGAGTCTCTCACCTTTCTGAAGAGATGCCGCGACTCTAAGGTAATACCAAACGCATTTACACTAACATCTGCTGCTGTAACTTCTTCTAATGCTAAACGAATTCTGTCTAGAACTAGCTTAGCTCTTATCTCAGAGAAAATCAGACTTACGCGCACCGATCTAGATCAGTTAGACAAGACACTCTACAAATCACACTTATCTTTGAGTGCAACAATGTCCACATCGGATTGGGAACATGTAGATAAAATGACTGCCTCTTCAGCTGCCGCTATGTCGACCAAATGTAAGGACAACTTGATTTCCAAATTCAACCGCCTCTCAAACAAGAAACCGGACCCACACATTGAAAAGCTAGACATTAACAAAGTCGTAATTAATCGCAGTAACAGTTCTATTTCTGAAGGTCTGAAATCCGTTTTAGCTAAAGGACTAAACTTTGCAGTCACACCTAGACACACACCAGTTAATGATATAATTGCGAGAGTAGATGTAGTTCTCAAGGGCCTGAGTCACATCGCTGCAGACGTAGCAAGATCTGAAATCTCTGCAACCCTCAAAAACGCTAAGATGCCAGCTAGCAACATCAGCAAAGATGAGCGTTTTGAATTAGCTAAATTAAAAAAGAGGGATGACATTGTCATCCTCTCAGCCGACAAAGGCAATGCCACTGGCATCATGGACAAAATAGAATACAACAGCAAAATTCAAGAACTACTCAACGAT